GAATCTTCTGTGGAGGCCGAATTTCCCCCTAGCCTCTGCCTTATGCGCCCCGCCTCCCCTTCCCGGTCTGCAGTCTTCGCCTCTCAGCAAGCCTCGTGGGAAGCGGAAGACATGCGAGACGCAGCAGAAACAGCAGCAACAACAGCGGGCACACCTTGGCCAAAGGGCGGCACAAGTTGTAGCTTTGGCGGGTATGGTGCAGCTACGCGCAGCGGGGGATTGGTCCCTCTTTGCTGCTACTGCGGGCTCCCGCTAAGACCTCCAGCAGTAAGCAGTTTAAGGGCAGGAAATACGGAGTCTTGTTGCCCCTTAGCAGCAGCCGCAGGAGCCGCTGCTTCACTAGGACTAGACGGGTGGACGCAGTGGTGCCGCTGCTGCACTCGAGTGTACGGAGATCTGCGCCTCCAGCATCAGCGTAATGCAACTGGGCTTCCATTTGCATCGTTCACTTTGCCTAAAGGGCAACTGCGGTACTTATTGCTGCCTGCAGATGGCGCTAAAGATGCGCCGGGGGGGCTCGGATCAGTTGCTTCAGCAATTGCAGCAGCTGCGGTTGCAGACCCCCGTCGCCTCAAGCTAATCGACGACGGCGTTGCTATGGCGACTGACGCAGATGCAGATATGGCTGCTGCTAGTGCTATTCCTAATCCAAACGGCAGCAACGGCAGCGTGGGGAGTGCTGCCTCCCTACGGCGCACAAGGAGTGGCCATTACCTCATCAGACCGCCAGCTTCACGCAGCAGCAGCCGCAGTAACAACCTGTTAGACATAGTGCGTTTTTTGGGGGCCTCTTGCTGCTGGCCCAGTAATACTTCTGGGAGAAGTTATGTGCAGCCACTTGCGCGCTTACAGCAGAAGCTGACGCAGTTGCAGCAGCAGCATGCTGATCACACACAGCAGCAACAACACCAGCCACAACAGCAGCGTAGGCCGGGCGCTTTTGTTGAAAGGGCCGCGGCGTCTACTGAGCTAAAGCAGGCCGCTGGAGCGGATGTCACGTGGGCCGCTTGTACTGGGTTTGATACGGCAGCCGCTTCGCCAGAAACAGTAACAGTGTCACTTGCAGATGCAACGCCAGCAGCACCCGCAGCGAAAGTAACAGCTGCTGCGGGGGCGGGGCTGACCCCTTCTGCCGTTGGGCACTCACACGATTCTCAGGCGCAGGGTTCCGCCGACTCCGGGGAAGACAACGAAACTCCTGTAGATTTGGCAGACGCTGATTTACCAAATGCAGCAGCTGCAAAAGCAGTAGGAGCAGCAGTGCAGCAGTTCACTGCAACCAATACACCAAGGGCACTTGACTCGGAGCCGCAGGACTGCTTCGATGCTTGTCAGTATTTACAGGCCGCAAGGGAAACGCAAGCTAAGAGAAATGGTTCCGCTATGACGGCTTGTACTGTCGTGATTCCTCGGGTGTACATGGAAAGCAACTCAGCCTGTTACGTTGCAACAGCGTTTGACTCCGTGCGCCAGCAACTCCTCCAGAAACGTTTCTCTTGCGCAATTCTGGGGGAGCAGAGAGCGCATGCTTTAGCGTGTCAGTGGTTGAGGTGGGTATACCGAGGCATTGCAAAAGCAGTCCGCAAGTCTCGCCTCCCAGATATGCAGCCTCACGCGGCTTCTGGAGTACACGGAGTTCCCGCCGCTGCTGCAGCAATGCCACAGATGGAAAGTGCGTATGTTGATGGCGTCGGGACGGCAGTAGCACCTGCTGCATCGCCGGGGCTTATTGGAACGGCCAGCGGATCGTGGGGCATCGGACGTGGGGCTCCAGCGATGGACAGTGGGGGGATGTCCCAAAATCAGGAACAGGCGCATCTGCGCAACGGACGACAGCCCAAGAGGCGTCGTCGTTGCGGAGAGCTTCTTGTGAGCAGCGACGCTGATGAAGTGCAGCACCTGCCGATTGGGGCAGTTGCCGCCGCTGTTGATCAAGGACAGCAGATGCCACAGGCGTAGAGGCTTACCGCACTCAGCATTGGGCCTCTGACTGCCTCATCATATAATCAGAGAAACAGCCTCTCATGATAACTATTAAGAGGATGTGTTCATATTGCTCCTCCTCGTAGACAGAGGCGGCAGGCTGCGTGGGTCTGCACCTCAGCATTTAAACAGAGACTAAACGAGGGGGCTTGAAGGGTTTTGAAAAGTGTTTCGTTAGGTGGGTCGGGGCTGTCAAAGCTCGTGTGTCTGGATTTCAGATCTCCATTGCTGGCTTTCCAGTTTTTTGTTCAGTTTTGGCTGTTTTGTCCTGGGCGTGATTTGGTCTTGCTGGTAGTGTTTCTGACTCCTTGTCGCTCGTAGTCAATGGTACGCTAGCTCCCCTTAGCAGTTGCCATGTACTGCGGATAATGCCACCAGTAAGACTGTGATTGTCTAGGGTGTCACGCGCGCGCGCCAACTTGCAAGGTAACGTCGATCTGCCCGAACATTAGTACCTTAAGAGTGTATGTGCTTAGCGCATTCGGCTGGCAGGACGCAACTACAGTTCTTCGCAATTGAAAGGCGATGCTAATCGGGAAAATTTTCTACCTCTGAAATGTAGTGCAGGACAATGAAAAGCGTATCACTATTCTGTCAACGGTCATCACAGGAAGGAGCAGCTCAGAAACTGCATGTTGGACCACTAAGGCCTTCACGCAATTTCGTGTAGCGCTGTTATTCGCTTCCCACTGGAGCTGTCTCGGCCGCCCAATTTCCGGCTAACACTAGCATGCGTGACAGAAAGGTCTAACCCCATTAGCTATCACTTATTTGTCGCAGTGGATCAGAAGCTTCACGATGCTGAACACGTACAATGGACAGAGGGAGTTGGATTTGCTGTGGATTTAGTTACTATCTTCACTGCTCCAAGGAACAAGCCTGGATAGAGTAAATGAGAGCCCCAACCCGTTTTTACCGTGCGAATAGCGCTCAAACACAGCACTGCAGCAGTTGGCAAAGGCCAAGTGCATCGGCAAGTACTGATGTCCAAGGTAGGGTGTATGGACTGCTGGGAAACAGCTGACTTCTGTCTTCTCCGGACGCTTTTCCATCTCTAGGCTGTTGGGTAATCTTGCGACACTTTTTCTCAGCATTCGAATCTTCGTTGCCCATTGCGATCGTCCACTTGTCACGAGAAACGTGGTGGAGGCATTAGGCTTGTCTCGTTCCGTATTCCTTGCTGTATCAGGCATATCTGCTGTAGCTGCAGCAGTTGTTACACAAGCGCTCTCTAAAATTCATGGTGGCTGCTCGCAGATAGCTGGCTGGTCCAGGTGCGAGCGGCACTGTTTTCACGATCCACTGATGCCTGCACGTACTTCGGAGCAGCGTGCAGGCTAGACGTCAATAGGGGCACGATTGTGTTTACGCCATACTGTACAACTATCAGCATGTTCGCGCAGGGAAAGGCTAAGTGGTGCTCAGTCTGCCTCTTATGCTAGTCTGTACGGTAGTTCACCATGTTCTTCGCTTCTATAGCTGCTGCTCAGTTTCCTATAAGCGTCCTGTGGGACGCCTTCCGATTCGCAGATACAATCAAGGGATTTGAGAATAGGGCTCACAAGACCACTCCATCGAAAAACGTAGCTAGACGCCTTTCGTCTGTCATGCTTCCTACTTACCACTGCTTTTGCTGTTTATATACGTTCTCAGCCGCTTTATCATGCTTCCTCGATAAGCTCGCATTGTCAAGCATAACGTGTTGCAACGCAGCGTCCCCCTTCTTTTCGCAGTTGCCATCCTTGCACAGCAAGTACCCTCTAACTTTGCTGAGTCTTCCTTTTGATGTTTCACCTGCCTTCTTTTGTTTTGTAGATTATGTTGCCCCATTCCCAGCAGCCTTCTTATCTAGCGCTTCTCCGAACTTCATCTACAGCTGCCGCTGATTGGTAAGCCAGTTCTCTGCTGAGCCTTGGACAAAGTGTGTCTGCCTTTCGGCCGCTGGAGCCGGTACTGTAACTAACTGCAATATTTTCCCTGCTTCCTCTTCATGATAACTTTTTTATAGTCGCTGCTAGTTCCGTTACAGATGTTGTGCCCGCCTTGGCGCTGCGGAGAACCTTTAGGCATCCACCCGGATAAAGTACATTTTTGCTTGGGAGTCTTTCTGCTATTGTTGATCAAGAACAGCATGTGCCCCAGGCGTAGGGGCATTACTGCCCCTGTAGCATATGCTGTTCTTGCTCATCGTCACCAAAATGTTTACATGCCAGAGTGAGCTGCCACGGAAGTCTTCAAACGTTTAAGCAAATTCGCCACTCACTGCGTCCGACATGCACTTGTTCATGGTGTTGTTAGTTGCTCTCAGCTGAACCAGCTCTAAAAATCTCCCTCCCCAAAATAGTGTCAACGATTTGTTGTTGTTTTGGACTGTCGAGCTCTCCTTCTTGCCTCCACTGATGTGACGAATACCGCCGCCGTCCTCACCATACAGGTATTCTTAGCATTGGCGGCGATGCATCAGTGTTCCATGGCATATTTTACACAGCTCTTAAGCAAAATGCGCTGCTCCTAGCTGCTCCTGTGGTAGATGAGACTTGAATGCTGCCTGTGCTACTTGACACAAACTGACGCTTCAACGACTGCATTAAAGAAGCCTCTGCGGCCTAAATACTTTGGCGCGACCGCAACACAACAAATTTCCACGCCTTTTCGTGTTTGCTTTCATATGCAAGTATCAAAATCTGCTATTGAAGTGGCTTCTACAGACTGCCTTATTGCAACAAATGCGGCTGCATCTACTGCTATTCACTGCGCCCTGCCTAATATCTATTTACAGCGTGGGATGGCTGGTGACAAAAAAGCGCCGTCTGCGTGTGCATGCAGAGCTAGTGAAGCAGCCCATTGCTGCCAACGTCTTCAGGAGCGAAACAGAAGTACTTGAGGGAGCAGGCCCAGGCAACTTGGCGCGCGTCGATTTCCGTGACTCTGGCCAACCACTTGCCTGCACAGATAAGCTTGCTGACTCCGATCTGGCTCACCCCCGAAGCCATTTACCATAGTGGCCCTTCGTACACTCAGGTTTTTGATCTCTCCAACGTCTTACGGGCTTCGTCAATGGCATCACTGAGACCACAGATACACTCAATGACTTCAGGTATGAGGTGCTGCGCAACGTCCGATTCAGTAATAGCCTGCCGAGCATCTTCAATTAGGGATGTGCCATCGTTTATCTGCACCTCCAGTTGCGCGAGGGCCCCAACACTTAAACCGCCTGCGGATTCGCTTAGCGTCTTTCTTAATGCAGCAGCCGCTTCCAGCAGTGACTGAATAACCACGTGATCAGACGTAAACCTTTCTGTAGGAGATGGAGATCTAGGCTCAAGAGGTAATTCTGCGGATTCAGAGGTCTCAGATTCATGCGCCAGTGTCTCTCTGGCGTACTTCACACATTGCTTTACGTCAGCCTCATACCAATCTATCACTTGTGCGGCAGCCTCCTGATTATTTTCGTGCAGCCACTGCAGCAACGAGTCTATTTGTTCTTCAACAGAACTCATCATTTCGACGGCACCTTGCAGCTTGTCCCGTGAAGAATTTGAATGATCTTTTGTGAATTCTTCCAAAAGCAACTCTGCATTGTCAAGCGCCAACTGCAGGAATATTATGTGATTGACGATGTTGTCCTGCATGCTCGAGCTCAACGACGACTCTGGAACTGGCTGTCCCGCTCCCTTCTCACAAGATTTAAGGAAGGCATGTACAGGAGACATTTCTTTCCTTTCCGAAAACAAGTGGTGCAGCTTTTCTTGAACGGCGTCTTGTTGGAAGTTCAAATCAGGGCTAGCTAGTAGCGCTGACGCCGTATTTGATTCACTCGTGAACCTCTGTGACAAGTCGCGCAAAAGACGAGCGAATGAATCCACTGTGCTTTTACTTGCATTCGGTTCCGCTTCTCTAGCACAGTGCAATGTGTTACTTGAGGCCACCTTTATAGCTTCCACTTTCCTCATTTGGGCATCCACAGGCACGCCGTTTGCCATCTCATGCGCAAGCGCGTCAATCAACTCCTTCCCCATCATAACCACTGGAGCTATTGTTTGTGCTGCTGAGCTCGGTGAAGTTCCAGAGGTAGACGGCATTTGCTCTAATTGCTTTTTTTCTTCTTCCGCTCGTGGAGCGGATGGTAAGGCTGCAGGTCCCGAGGAAGTCGATGGCACAGGCTCCGCAGGGCCAGTCGCTAACGCAGGCGTTGGCGTCGGCTCAGCCGGTGGAACTTTCTTTTTCTTTTTTTTCTCAGTCTTTGGAGAAGACTGTACATCCTTTGGGGGTTTCTGCTGCTGGGGACCACTGCTCGCCTTTCCTCCAGTGTTTCTCGTGCTTGGGGTCTTCCGAGGCCCCGCTGGTGGCACTGGCTGGCGCTGATCGCTCGCTTTTGCCTCGCCTTCCTCAGAAAAATATCCTTTCAAGACAAGTTCTCTTAGCCGCCACCAGGCATGCCCTCCTACAGACCGCTGTAAGCCGACAAGACGAGCAGATGAAAAAATGGACAGCGCTACAGCAAGCCCGACGAGCGCCACAAGGGGCACGCGCAGCACTCGGTGAGTTCCACGCCTTTTTCTTGGTACTTGCCTAAGATCTTGTACAGGTGCGTCTTCCGTAACTGTCCTCCATTCCACCCCGTCGAAAGCTTCAGCTTGAGGGGACATCATTTTACATTTTCCCACTTCACCATGCCATCAACAATGCAACTTTTATGCTCTCCATATATTAGATGGCGTGGCCAAGCAACTAAAATCTGCACGGGTCCCCGACCAGCCCCGCCTGGTTGCCTTAGCCACAGGGTACTTGGGGCTCGCACTCGCCTAATCGCGACGAAGGAACACCACTAGCTGCATATACAGAAAATTCCACAGCTCCAACAAGCTTGAGCCAGATTAATAGTAATTTTTTCTAAAAAGGGCGCTTAATAGTCTTTGTAGCAGTCAAGACAGCTTCATGCCTCTCCGGGCTGCTGTCGCTCTGAGCGTTTCTCCGTCTGCTCTCTTTACCTGGTGTCTCGTTGCCAGCAACGAATGCACGAAAACTCCGCGAAGTCCACGTTTGTCGCACACCTTGGTTAGTAATTATTATTTCATGGTAATAATAGAACCAAACTGTGAAAGATGCACATCTAAAAGTGTTTCAGCAGGCATTCAGCACTTGCAGGGGGGCAACTCCTTGCTACCTACGCTCTTCATTGTGAAACCCCACAACACCACTGTGCTGCGTTGATATTCGTTATATCCTTTGAAAGTCTTTGAATAGAGTACTAGTGATACTTCACACAAACTGAACTGCCGTCTCTTGTACTTCAGAAGCGTGTGGCAGACATGTCCTATGGACTTCTGTGAGCAGCATTCCTTCCTTATCGTGCACTCCGTGCCGGCTAGCACGCAGCCCAAAATGGTAGCAGCTGCAACTTTACCTAAAGACAGCGCGTATTCATAATTCTGAATTAATGTAAATACAGCGTTTCTCAATTTTTCATATTGGATAATTGAAGGATACGGAATTCGCAGCGAAGGCGAGCTCGGACACTGCAGTAAGTAAAGATCATAGACCGCACACGTCTCCCAAATGGTTCATCTGCAGAGCAGTTAACTGGCCGCATTTGAATAGAAAATATACCGGCTTGCATTAGATGCCGGCAGGTGCAGCCAACAGAAATGCCGTGCTTGATCACTCAGATCCCTCCCGTGCGTCGAAGGGACTGCGAGCGAGCGACCCTCGAGAGCAGAAGCACATTTTTCTGGACAAACATTAGGAAAAACGCAAATGTTTGTTTTCATAATTTTTCTTTGGCTGCCCGACGTTGCTGGCAGCAGCTTTTAGCATGGATTCTATACGCTACGCTACGCCTGCACGATTCTTCAGGTCGCAACCTCAACTTACTGCGCTCGCCCTTTACTATACTTGTCTAAATCCCTTGAATACGCTTCAGCGTCTTTTCAAGCCCGATATAAGCTCTCCTGTGAGCAAGGCAAAGGCTCTGTGAGACATGGAAGGATCAACCCCCACTCTCAAAAAGACTGGTGGCTACATCTTTGCCAACAATCGACAAGGAAGTCATCCGAAAAACATTCTTGCTTTCATAAAGTGGTAGGGACAAATGCCAGTAGTTCGTCACTAACTGCATACAAGAATTGCAGTGATTCGCTGGACCTTGAAATATGCCGCCTATATATATTCAGCATGATTTCGACCGCGGCGAGGGTTGCTATGACATAGTACACTAGGTCCAGGCTACGTGAGCGCTCGTTTCACTGCATTCCAGGATGTTAATCAGGTGAAAGGCCTCATGTTGAACTTTTGCCATTAGCCCTGATGAGCACAAAATTCTTTAGCTGGGCTCAAACTGCTGCCACCCACTTCCAAACTTTTAACTGTGGTTGAGGACTCTCGCGCAGGCGACAATGGGCTAAGCTACTCCGGTCTGTAGAATCATTACCAGGGAAAATCATTTCAAAGATCTGCAACCGGAATATATGCGCCTTTTACCAGTTACTGATGAAAGAAAAATAGCCGTTCCCTTTTGCAGAGGCACCACAAAGAACTGTAATTCGTTATGGTGTTTTAGGATGGATGGCCAAGATCCAAGTTATTGGTGGAGGTCGAAACAAAAGCTGCAGCTCTAGCAAGGTCATGGCGAGGCAATCGGCTTACTGCTTTTGAATTTGGGTGCAGAAGACACGGTTTAGGGAAGCTGGAGAGGCCATCTTTGTTACTTTATTCTGGGCCAGCACAGAAATTTTCAAGCATTTACATGTGAATCCACCAATCACTGTATCCGAGACGTGTTCTGCACGATGTTATTAGTGGTTCTGTTATTCTCATCTGAAATAAAGTTAAGAAGGAGTCCCCCCTGCAGCTCTTCTCATTGATTCGATACCTAGCTCTGGATGCTCCCGACACACTCTTTTGGAGTACCCAGCTGTTCTTCTTGCTTCCGCTAGTGTGAGAAATGTCGGTGCTGTACCCTCCGCACACACAAGTGCTCTTGGTATTGGCGATATTGCAGCGCAGCTCGCCGGGAAGTTTTGCGCGACGGCCGCATTAGAATGCTGCCGTCTCGCAAAGCTTGCTGCTCATAGCTGCATCCGCAGCAAGCGAGACTTGAATGCTACTTCTGCAACTTGATAGCAACTGACACTTCACAGTCTGCACTCTTCACCTCTAGTTAAGCAAAAAGACAGGGTGCTTCAAAGAAGCGTATCTGCAGATTGGCAAACGCTGTCGCAGCATAGGAACATTTTTTGCTAATTTAACTCGTGCTCTGGCTGCTAAAAGCGTCTAAAGCTCTCAACATTTTCCTCTCAGGAGCCGGATCTTTGCCACCAAATTTGCCCATTCAGTTATAATATAAAACTGTCAATGTTGACAATGAAAGTGACTCCTGCTGAGAGCGTTGCTGCAGCAGGTGCTGCATCTATTGCTGTTCACTGCGCCCTGCCCAAGCTCTCTTCACAGCTTGGGATGGCTGGTGACAGAGAAGGGTCGCCAGCGTTTGCATGCAGAGCTCGTACAGCAGCCCATTGTTGCCCACGTCTTCAGAGGCGAAACATAAGCTATAAAAGGAACATGCTCAGACAAATGGCATGCGTCGGTTTTTGTGACTCTGGCCAACCACTTGCTTGCACAGATAAGCTAGCCGAATCCCGATCTGTCCCATCCCCGAAGCCACTTCCCCTAGTGGCTCTTCATACATTCATCTTTAAGATCTATCCAACATTTCTTGAGCTTCCTTAATAGTATCAGTGAGTTCACAGATACATCCGATGACTTCGGGCACTACGTGATCTGGAATATGCCCTTCAGAAACTTGTTGCTGGGCGTCGCTAATTAGGACTTGAGAAAGATTTATCTGCGACGTTATTTGAGCATGTGACGCAGCGGTCGGGGAACTCCTGTGTTGACGCATCATGCTTCTTAATCCCACACTTGCTTGCTGTAGAAGTCCAGCCGGCGAAATGACAGTGAAGCCTGACAGGGTTTCAAATGGAATCACGGGCGACATAGGCCTCACTGGTGAAACAATAGGCGACACATTCGGGCTCGTATATGTAGTGTTAAGCCTCTCTCTAGCAACAGTGAGGGAGTTTTCTAACATCCTCTCGTAAGTGAGTAACACTTGCCGGGGACCCTCCAGACCAGCGTTTCCCATCCACTCCAGCAAAACGCGCAATCCCCCTCCAAAGGAGCCTACGATGCCTATAAATTCGTCAAGCCTTTCCCGTGATTCTTCTGTCCTGCTTTCCTCATACGCGTCTGTGAGAGCTTCCAGGCTGTTTAGCCCCAACTCCAGAGAGGCTGCATGAAAGGCAATGGCGCTCATAGCTGCGTTGTCCTGTCCTGCTGGAGATAGGCCTTCAGTAGCTGGAGAACGGCTTGTAATAAAGTCATTTATAGCACGCATTTCATCCTCGGCCTGGTTTAAATTGTCCATAACACTTTGAAGCGTACTGCTGTCCAGGCCTAAATCGGTCTCAGTCAGTAAAATTCTCGTCCTCGTCATTTCATCCTCAAACATGTTAGAAAGTAGGCCCAGGAACACGATGTGTGAGTTCATAATCTCTTGACTAACTGTTCCTTCTGCATTTTCAGCGCAGCTCAGAGCGTTATCTGCAGCCTGCTGTATTGCTTCAAGCTTGCCAATTTTCGCATGTGCCTGATTCCCATTTGACATATCATGCGCAAGGCTGTCAAAGTACTCAGCTCCAAGTAAGCACCCTGCAACACTTTCTGGCATTGAACTCGAAGGGCTTCCAGGTCTAAAGCTGCTCGTCTCTAAATGCTTTGTTTTTGCTTTCCGTTTTCGTGGAGGAGATGGTGGGGCCTGGACTTCCGAGGAAGTCGATGGCGCAGGAGCTGCAGCGCCAGCCCCTGGCTCAGGCAAAGATGAATCCATGGGCTCACTTGCTGGGAGTTCCTCCTGCTGAGCTCCCTCAGTTCCTAACGGAGCCTCTTCATGGGGTGATTCTTCCCCCAACAGAGGCCCGCTGCCTGCTTCTTGTCCAGTCTCTTCCGTACTTGGGGCTTCCTTAGGTTCTCCTTCTTGCATTGGTTCGCATTCGTCATTATTTTGCTGCTCGCCATCTCCTGAGGGGTTGTCTCCCGGAGAAGAGTTCGCAAGCCTCCGCCAGGCATGTCGGCCAGCAACTCGACGCAAGCCGATGCGGTGAACACATGTGAGGATGAGCAATACTGCAGCAAGTCCAACAAGTGTCGCAATAGATATGCGTAATCCTCGGTGAAGTGCTTGCCGTCTCTTACGTGCTGGCCTCGCATCTTGAAAAGGCACCTCTGCACGTTCCCGTTGGGCTAATGAGACTGTCCCCAGCTCCACCGTGTTGAAGTGTGCGGCCTGAGGCGATGCCATTTTACATCTCTGTGCCGCTGTTCTTCTAGCAATGCAGCGTTTTCGTCCTCACCTTTTCAGGTGACGCCGCTAACCTAATGGAAAAACTGCACTCGTTCCTGGCCAGCCTGCTTGCTACGCTGGAACGCGTTTAGGCCTCGCAAATGCGTGGTCAACGCGTATATTCAATAGTTCTATTCAGAAAACAGTCCATTGATTTTGTTGAGCTTTAGACCTGAAGCTTAGTAAATCTCTGCCAAAGGCCACAGAAGAACCTTTAGAGTGACCAAGAAGGTTCCTCTTGCCCCGGTCCCTCAGAGCAGTTGCAGTGTTCCTGCTAGGCATCTTGTCGCCATGCTTCGACGTAATAAGAAATAGGGAGAGGCTTCGTAATCTTTTGTTTGCTCATATGCTTAATAAATAAGCATTATTTTGAAACACTGAGAAAGCTAGAATCTCTGTGACTCACTCTTGGAAGAAGCCTAACAGGCTTCCACATTTTGCAGCACTGCTTTGTGCGTCGACGTATCAGCGAAGCGCCAGAGTCACTCATCAGTGCTCTCTGAATCTTTCGGAGCTCATCGCATAGCAAAGTAGTGGCACTTAACATAAGGTGGTCTACTTGGGTGAATGGAATCCTTTAAAGGGCAGCGGATGGAGCTCTTGACCAGTGTGCAATGTTCCATTGTCATACTCCCGTGCTGCCTGTGGGCTAGTACGTGTCAAAGGTGAAACACCATTAAGTTCGCCTTTAGATAGCATGTATTTACAATGAGGAGTTATAGGCTTAAACGGGATTTGCACTGTTGCAGAATGAAGTGTATGGTTTGGATGTAATGGTGGGGTCAAACGCTACAATGACTAGGTCACACGGTTCTCCCCTATATTTTGTTTGAAGAGCAACAGAATAACTCCATCTCGTATAGAATTAATAAACAAGTTCGCATTTAACGCCAGAAGTTGCAGCAAGCAGCGACGATGTACATTCACATTGAAGTGCATTGGGGGGCAGTGAGCGATCGTTCATCGGAGGAAGACCGATAGCTCCACCGCGTCATCCATCAGGTCGCCAAACTGCAATATATTTTTGTGAACGACAACAGCAAATAAGCTATGCATTTGTTGTGTAGCTCTCGAAATGTCTCTATGCATTTAAGACCATTTAGACTGTGACCCCCGCGAAGTATGTGATTGTGCAATGCAGGAGCCAGATCCGGATTTAGGCGACAGCATGCGATGCGCTGCTCAATCTTTCACTGCAGTGAACAAGTAGCGTACATGTTAAAATATTGACTGATCGCTGAGCCTCCCGGTAACCCTCAACTAAATCCGTGCTTTTCCGCGGTGCAGCTTACGTGCACGCACACATGAAATTCCTCATGCCACACTGACTGCCAAGAGAGGAACCTGCATACCTTTTCTGCAAGGAAGACTTCACAACAATTCAAGGGAGATATTGTGTGACGCGTATTAGGGCAATCTGCACAGTATCTGTACAATGCACGTCGTACAGAGTCTGCAACTCTCGTGGACTATATGCTGTGTGCAGCTAGCCCGATGGCAAGTGAGGCATGCGGTGCGATGTTCTTACTCCATGCTGCACTCACTGGGGCGCCGACACACCAACTGGAATCCTCGCCTCCCCTCGTGGGCCAAACTGGCTCACCGAATCAAATGCAGCTCCAGGATAATGGCCAAACATTTCTGCATAGCACTCTGTACACAAAATCCCTGCCCTGGCTCCTATGAGTGAACGAGCATGACTAGGGGAACGACGATTGGAAAGCTAGCAATATCAGAGAAACTGCAGTTCGAGATTCATGTGAGGGCGCCGTGCATGGAAGCACACGCTGCGCCAAAAAAGCTTAAATACAACGCTGTAGTCAGCGGGGCTACTGTGTGCATGAATAAGCTTGTGCAGAACAAAGATAATGCGACAGGGGAAGTCCCTGCCACCGCAAGCTTCGTTTTACGACGATCTACACCGCAGGGGTTCCTTAACCTGCAGAACCTATGGTGCATTATTCCCCGCAGCCGTATCTCCGTGCAAAGCCGTAAGCATCCTCAATAGTCATTAAAACCTGTTTGAAATGACAAGAGCAGCGGTAACAAGAGCAGCGACTACTGCTGCATGCGTATATGCAGTGAGCACCATTGCCAAGGCGACAGCTGTGATTCCCTGCCTCCTGTCCAGGCTTCCTTGAAAGTTCCTGAAGGCTGGCAGAATGGCGCCTGCATGTGCATGCAAAGCCGGCTCTGAGATCCATTGATGCTCGCACGTTTGTAAGAACAACAGAGAAGTAGTTTAGTGTGCACCTGCAGAAAAGTGGGCCGGTGGGCCGGCGTTGTCTCTCTTGGCCTTCTACGTGTACGCAGATGAAGAGGCTAAACAACGTTTCGCCCGACCAAATAAGCAAATAAATATCCGCAGCAGCTCTTTGGCACTCCATGTCTTCAGCTTCCAGAGGGACCGAGGCTATGACGAGTCTTCTGTGCAACAAGTGCTTAGATCACGAGCACTCCCAATAGCTTCTGGCTCACGACGACCTGGGCGTCTTTGCCAGAAGCTGCCTCCAAAGTTCAACCAAATACCACGCTGGCGGCGTTTATTTTTGACATTACACGGAGCCCTGCAGCGGCACTTGCAGGGCCTTCCGATTCACGTAGCTTTCCACAATACAACAGCCGAAGCTCGTAGCGAATGCACCAAAGAGTCCGCAGACGGCCGTCTCTCGGACGCTGCTTTGACTCCAAGAACTAGTCTGAGGCCTTTACGGTCGATGAGGTTCCTCTGGATTGGGGCCCTTCTCGAGCAACTCTTCAGCGTTCTCCGCTAAATTCTGCAAAACCTCAGCATAGTTCCGAATCCATTGAGCAGCAGACCTCTGTATTCTTTGTCGTAGGCTGCCCACAAACTCTTGCGTCGTTGAAAGCAAAGTCTTCGCCATATCCACAACCCGACTTAGCGACTTTCTTGCACGAGGACTTGGCGTAGACCCGTAATCCCTCACGGCCATTCCCACCCTCATCACTGCCAACTTCAAGACAAGCACCCGCTTGCCAACGTCGACCTCTTTTTGAGGGATTGGGAAGGGTGGCGGCTCCACATGCGGCCTTCTCTCGGCCTGTTTAGAAGTGCGATCAATGAAACCGTATGCATCTGTAAGATCAACTTTGAGCGAGTCCATGTATTGCCAGACTAATGCTGCTTTGTCAGGCGACAGGCGCAAAGTGCCCTCTGTAAGAAGCAGCCCAGCGCTCTGCATTTCATCTTCCAGTCTGGCTGTTAGCTTCTGCATAAACCATGACAGCGAAACTGAGGCTGGTAAGTCACCTATAACTTCAAGTTCTTCAGCTTCCTCCAGTGTTTCGGCCAGCGCCTCCTTAAGACCCTCCAACTTGAACATTTGGCCTTCTACTGCATTTTCATCGGGTGTCCGGGGCGACGGAAAGTTCAGCGTTGGCCTTTGAGTGGGCAAGTAAGATAGAGCTGCCCCAAGAAGACCCAACGGGCTAGTAAGAGGCCTGGAGAGGTCCTTTAGTGGCCTATCTTCTGGTATAGTGCTCAGATCGCTGGGCTGGCTTGGCTTCGTCAAGAGCCGCATAAGAATACTTTGTTGCTCCTGCCAAAGTTCTGGGAATTCGGCACCAGGCGGCGGAGCTTCCGGTGCAGGTTTCGACGCTTCTCCGCGCTGCCGCTTAATGAGCTCCGGCTCCAAGTGTTTTGTCTTTGCTTTTCTTTTTCGAGGCCGCTGGTCTCCCAGCTCCGGCGACGGAGGAGTTAGGGGCATAGCAAACACATGCGCAGGCCCGGGCTCCGGTCCTGCAGCACCTGCAGCAGCCTCGCCAGCTGCCTGGGAAGCAGAGCCCACTCCAGGGGGAGTTGGCTCCGGGGCTGCAGCCCCCCGCGGCTCTTCTGCGGGCGAGTCCTGAGAAGGCCTCTGTTCTGGCTGTGGTATTCTTATCACGGAGGCCTGCCCTTGTCCTGTCAAGAGGCGAACAAGGGGAGAGTCTCCCGCTGGCTGGCTTTGAGGCGGAGAACCAGGCGCTTCCTCAGTTCCCCATCTACCCCAAGGCTCGTACGGTGGTGTTGGCGGCTCCAAGTGCTTTGTCTTCGCCTTTCGTTTCCTAGGAGGCGAGGTTTGGGGCACCTGGAAAACTGCAGCTTCAGGAGGTGCAGGGCCCGCCTCTGGCTTGGGAGAAGGCTCTGGAGGAGCCTCTGGGGCTGGTGTCTCAGTGCTCTGCGCCGCCTCTGAGGGGGGCTCTTCGCTTGCCGGGGCTTCAGCTGGGACGGGCGCGCCGCCTGCCGCCTCTCCAGCTTCTGCAGCAGCTGGCGTCTCCTGAACTCCCACTGCTGCTGCCACTTCGCACTGTTCACTTTCTCCCGCTTCGCCGTCTCTAGAGGGACTTCCTCCTGAAGAGGATTCGGCGAGCTGCCGCCAAGTGTGTCTGTCTGCAAGGCGACGCGAGCTGATGTGGTGAGCACATAAGAAGACCAGCACGGCTACACCGAGTGAGACGAGAGCCAAGATGGTTCCGCGCAGCGCACCATGGGGTGCTTGCCGTTTGCGAAGTGCGGGACTTACACCTTGTAGAGGCGGCTCTGTAAGTGTCGTTAGTTCTGGGAAAGCCGTTCCCCCCTCCTCCTCGATGTCACGAGCTTGTCGGGTGATCATATTTGGGACCCCTTCTCCACTCTATCTTCAGTAATGCTGCTCTTTCACTGCTTATGTTCCGGTCAACGCCACTGATACTCTAGGAACAGAGATCTGACTTCCCCAGCCGCGCTTAATTTATCGCGCCAACCAGCGGAAGCTCAGGATTAAATTGCAATTGTATCGTTCGCGTCATATACATAGGATTCCTTGCTTTACATGAAGCTATTGCAAAAATTAGTTGGTGTTTGCCTTGGACTGCGACGCGTTGTTTCTTGAACGAGCAACCTGCTGCCACGCTGTTGCTAGATCGAGCCTCGGGCTCAGGAACGACTCGGCCGAGGCGTCAGTGTTCCCCGCTTGCTAAAGCTCCACAACTGTAAAGTGCAATTTCACTGATTATTAAAATTAAAAATCGTGCCATTATTTGCGCTGAAGAAGCTCAACGATGGGTGGATATCTGCACGTTCTCGTACCCACAAGTTCATCAACACTGCATCACAATCCCACATTCACCCATAACTAATCCAAATTGGCACCTTGCACATGGAAAGCTGTGGAATTTTCGTATGATTAACAGCAAAAAAACCGTAAGTAGTGCTCCAAGTCATTGTGATGGGCCTGTGGGGTGACGAAGCATTCGCCCCGAAGCATTGCTCCTGCTAAGAGAAACCTGAAGACGAGATGCACATCCATCTGTACTGGCAACGTGGTACTGCTCTGGGCATAATTTAACAGTGCCACCGGGGCTGGAGCGCCAGTTAACTTAGAAAGGACCTGAGACTGAGACGCAGTCGGCGCCACTTCAATGCCGAAACGCGGTGGTGTTCGCGTCCCGTCGTTTCTGCCCGGCTGGCATTAATTTCCGCCGATTTTTGGTTTATTTAAAGAACCCGCGGAACTTGAAAATTGTCTACTCAGTCTGTTTGGGTGCGAGTGCTAGAAGCACCCTTCCGAAAGGAAAAATCGAAAAGAAGCAGAAGGCTCGTCTTAAGAGGCGTGCAAAAGTCGGACCAATACAAATAAGACTACATCACGTGCCAGGCAGAGTCTCTGCCCAGTTTGACCGTGTGAACTGCTACTTTATGTGGATCTGGCCTACCTGACACATTCACAATGGGAACACTTGCTCGTTAAAACGACACAGAAAAGCACACCGTAAGACTTTGTCGTGAGAAACCAAGTATTTAAGAAGACTACTATTGGCTGTCTGCTACGCTAGTACACGGAACCGCACCACATTTTCATCTGGTCACTTCCACATATTGTTGTCAATCAACAAAGCTGCATATAACTCACATTAAGGCTGTACTTCGACCGCGGCCGCCTCGCTGCCCTTGCTATATCAGCAGCGCCGGGCTGCCTCCAGCAGGTACATCACTGCAGCGACTCGGTTGCACCAAAAACGCGTTCAGATCCCAAACAGCAGCGTAAAGAAACAGGCTCGGCCCAGCGCGTCCCTCTGCTGCTGCTAAGAGCAGTCCACGGATTCCTCGCAGACGGTTCCACGACGGCTTCTGCCGAAATGCTCGTCTGTGCAGCTTCTTCCTACTGCCTTTGCAGCTGGAGGCACTCTCCAAGCCCGTGCTGACAGTGCACAAAAATGCGGGAACAAGCAGATAGCACGATCACCAGGAAAAGCAAGCACGAGCCAGGGGCCTCATGACTGTGAAGATGCGCCACAAAGCGCCCCCGGAGTTCGCAGCTGGTGGCCGGCCCACAGGGGCAAAGGAAGCCGCAGTTCTTTTGGGGCTGCCGTAGGAAAGAAGCGAGGGGAAACTTCATCGCAATCATGAAAAAGACTTCAAGTCTCGCAGCTGCAGAACACGCTCACGGGCATGTGTCAAGACAAAGTCCGCAGGAACTCCTCCAGTGCGGCTTCTTGTGTTTTGGCTGCTGTTCAGAATGCAGCGAAACCGTTGCACGTGGGTTTCGCTGCGCCGGGCGCTGGTGGGGAAATGCTGCACCAGCTTTCCCTGAACTTGTCTAAAGGTGCTTGTGTTCACTTTCAGCTTTTGCGCTGCAGTGCAGCGCTCAAAGCCGAGCTCGCGGCCGAGCATTTCTCGCCTAATCTGTAGACTGCATCTCTCAGCTTCTCCACCGAAACGCTGTTTCTGCCCACGCCCGGGGTGGCCAGCACGCCCCAAGCTTGCTGCACCCATATGCCGGCATCTCGGAGCTTGTCAGTGAGGTCGAGGCGACTCTCTTCACTTTCCGAGGAAAGGAAGCCCTGCAGCGCCTTCCCAAGCCCCGTGGTGGCGCTTTGAACGCGAAGAGTGAAAAAGATGAGAGCATCCACCATAGTTGAAGTGGGCTCTTCCTGGGGAGGCTCCTCGCCGAAAGCGTTTGCATATGCAGTCAGGACTCCAAAGGCAACATCGAGGGTTGTTTCTGATGCGATCTGGGACTCCAACCATGTGCGCCGCCCCTGGGTGCCAAGACTGCCACAGTTCTTGTAGAATTCTTCTGTGCTTTGTTGTGCAAAAACCTGGAAAGCCACAAACAGCGATTTGCAGTGTCCGAAGAGAGGAGAAGACGCGACCCAGTCATCAGCCAGCTCTTGAAGTGCCTCGCGCAGCATATCGCCCAGCAGCTTCGTGGTTTCCGTCCATTCCCGCATCGCCGCCGCGGCTGCGCGCCGAGACGCTGCTGTGACGACTCGAGAACCCAACCCCAATTCGTAAGGGCTCCCGTCTGGAGAATACAGCGGAGTCGGCGGCGAGCTTCCCTGCTGCATGCACGGACTGGACTGGCGGGGGTGGCGGCCGAGCACTCCATCTGGACTGGTAGTATCAACTGAGGACTGGCGAGAGAGCGCCGAGTTGTCGCTGCTGGGTGTTGTCGGCGTGCTCCCCGGCGAAACGAACTGACTCACATGCAGGGAGTTTTCAACGGGCGATCCTGCACGTCCAGGCCCGAGCTGGAACTGCTGGTAGTCGCCCGGAAAGTAAGGAAAGGAGGGGTGAACACCGTCAGGCGGACTATCTCCCTGCAAATATACATCCATTTGCGGTGTTTGGCCGCCGGATGACAAGTCGAGGTAAATGTCAACTGCCTGTTTCGCAGGCATTCCCGCAGAGGCGGGCGCGTGGGCGTTGCCATTGGGGGGGGTAGTTGGTGCGCTTCTGGCTTTGTAGTGCACTCCGCGCTCTCCTCCCTGTCCTCCAGGATTTAATTTCAAATAAAGTCGAAGTGTCGCTTCTTCTCCTGGGAAGGCGTGATCGCCCGCAGGAGTTGCCGGCGCGCTGATGGACTGAATGCGCACAGTCTGCTTTTGGCTCGCCTCCCCGCCAACTTCAAGTGTCAGTAGTGGCTGCTGAACTCCCCCTGCAAACGCAGACCCGCTGAGAGGATCAGCTGCAGAGGTGGAGGCCTCGCTAAAGGGCTGGAGGCTGGCCTGCCTGCGCGGCCCGGGGGGGCGCCGGGGGCACTCCCCTGCTGATCCGCCGCAGAGGGCTCCGGAAATGGTTTGATAGGCTCTTTCTAAAGGCCGCAAAGGCCCGTTCGAAGGACGTTTCACTGTTTTCGGAGCGTCTGGGAGCTGCGTTTTCGGACTTGTTTCTGGAAGCTCTGGCGGAAGTATGTCATCTTGAGGCTCCTCTGACTCTTCAGGGGCCGCCTGCTCGCTCTCTGGGGACTCTAGGCTTTCCGTAACCTCTTTGTTTGGCGCGCGCGGCCCCAGGGCACTGCAGAGGTCCTTCTCCTCCGACTCGCTACCTCCACTCGACAGGTCGCTCTCCTCTGCCAAATGCCGTAGGCTTGCAGCTCCTGAGCGCCTCGATTTGATCCACTGTGAGCAAAGGCCCACTAAAAACACAAGAGCGAGGGCTACTACAACACTAACTTGGGCCTCAACTCCCGTGGGGACCGAGATCTTTCTTGGCACTATAGGATCGAAGAAGCTAAACGACGGAACTGCGGTCCTAATAGTGTGCGACTCATTGAGCACTTCCATCTCAGGAGGCTGCTGTTCTTTCTTCATGCTTTCTAATCCATTGGAAGTTGTGACAGGTTCCGCCGTTCTGGGGGTTTTTCTTTCCAATAAAAAAGCGCGCAGGAAAAGCACAAGCAGCGGACCAAAGTGCGCCCGAGGGAGCGCCTCAAGGCTTGAAACACCCCGCCTGATACTCAAATCAATGAGAAACCGCTGCTTGACTTTTTAAAAGTAGAGTAGAATACACTAAGTTGTGCGCAAACTCGCCCTGTTCAACATCACAAGATCTGCAATTGGAGGCGTTCGGGTCCCTCACTGAGGTCTGGCCCACATAGCCAGTAAATTTTGACCATAATTGCTTATTATTTTCTATAAAATCGAAAACCATAAAAAGTGGGGACGTTTTATTGCTGCTTTGCGTTGAAGTGATGCGCTGCTGATAAGCTGAGATCAAATGCGTTGCTACTGCTGAATACTCTCAGTGCCCTCTTTGACGGGTGCCAGCCCCAAAGAAATTTCCAGTGTCACAATAAAGATGTGAAGAACAATAAGTAAAAATTCAAAGAAATCAGGGTGTTCTTGAGGCGAAAATTTCCAGCTCCTCTCGCTCAAGCGCATTCCTGCATTTTGCACACAGCCGGTGTATCGTGGAGCAGCGCCGTGCCTACTGCCAGTAATGCACTCAACTGGCATTGCACAACTTAAAAAATTGTTCCAATTACGAATTTCCCGATGCACTTTTTCTATTACAAGCCTATAATTCCTTTATGGGAAGTTTGTGTGCAATGTGGTCACGAGCGCAGCACTTAACCGTTCCTCCCAGCCAACCAACGAGCAGTCCTTCTTTGGAGTGCGGGCGCAAACACTCGACTTGTTTCCCCCTTTTGAGATAATGGTATTCTAGTAACTCGATTAATTAAGATCATTTTAATCGAGTTCCTTGTGACTCTTGAGCCTAATAGTGCCACCTGGGGTACCAGTGCACAAAGATCGGATCAATGGAAAATCGGAATACAGTTGTTGCGACTGAACGAAAGTTCACGCACACTTCCAAAGGTACCTGCCCGTGAACCATCACAGAACAGTGTGACGGGTTTATTTCGTTGAGTATCGAAGTATGGTGTGACGTCCTTTAAGGTTATCTCAAGACATCCGTGCCCCAGCATAGTGAAAGATTCGGCGAAGTCCGCCCGCTGGCTGGGGACGGGCATGAGCTAAGTATAGAGACATATATCAACAGTAAAATAAATCGGCTTTAGAAAGTTCTAAGGATACTATAGTGCCTAGAAATCCTCCAAATAATTGTCTACCCTGGTGAGGGGTCACTACATTCAACACACACCCCCATAATTAGTGCAAAGACAAAGGAAGCCAGTGCTGAATCATTGGGAAGAATTCTAAGGAGCTCCAAAATGCTTTCCTTTGCATTCCATTGCTGGCAAGACAATATGTGTAGGAATACGGAGCATGGGGCTGTGCTTTCTGCGGCCAATTTCGCACTTCGTGCGCAAACCTGGAGGGTATCATGCTTCGCTAACAATGGCAATTTCAATTCCTCTCATATCATCCTATAGCGGCCATTAATTACTTCAAATGGTGCCTTTCGCGCTCCGAGAACTAGAGTTGATGGCCTTTGAGGCTCAAGCTCGTGGCGTTTCCCCAAAGTCCATTGTTAGCAAAACTCGCAAAAATTATAATAACATTCTACATTATCTGGCTCTCCGTGTCCCGCTTAGTTCTTTAGCTAAGGCCTAATGGGCGGGCTTGTTTCAACTTTCCTCTAAATTGTGGGTTTGCGTAGTTCTTTGGCGTACATCGCCTGGTACATTTTTGTGTTGCAGTGGCGGATAGAATGTGGACAAACGCAAATAAAAAACCTTGGAAAATGCTCCTACTACTATTTTCACCTTGCACATTCTGCTTACGGCCCAAATATTTGCCTTCTTCAGAGCTGATATTACAGATCCACCCCATAAAGGGAAAATATTTTCAGGACTCTGAAAATATTTTCCCTTTATGGGGCTGAAGCACACTCATGTTGATTTCTATAAGGCACTTATTTCCTGTAATAGTGGAGCATAGCGAAGGGGCAGCAGCAGCTTTGCAGTACGCATAGGCAAGAGGTTCTTGTATTCACGTATTTAAGGGTTTGCGTGCACCGACTGCGCTTCATAAACACTAAATAGGCCAACAGCTACAAGATCCTCAGTGACAGTTGAAAACTGTGAATGATTAAGGGCCACTGAGTGTTCCTGAAGCTTTTAAGTGCAGCAAATAAACTCAATTGAATTAACTTGAGACTGTTCAGCGGCGCTGGCTGTGTTGGGCGTCGATAAGGCAATAAGGTTTCCCCAGAGAAACGGCAAAGTCCAGCAACAGAGCTGCACTGGGCTTCTTCTCCTCCTTTGTTGGCTGCTGAAACAAAACTCGAGTTTCTTAGATTCCTGAGTACTAATTTTCGAATTCGATAGGCACTTCACCGCGAATATTTCCTCAATCAAGGATTATTTAAGAGCATATAAGTACTTTTCCCTCAATTGCTTCCTTATTTAGTAGCGGCTCCTTTCTGCCAGGCAGCATATGCGGCTGCGGGATTCAGGTTCTGCAAACCCCTAAAGCACAGGAGATTTCGATCCGCCGGCGTTATTAAAAAAACGATGTAAGGCCCTGTTTCGGTAAGTAAAATAGATGGGCCAGATCACTTCCACTTTTTCTGGAAGCTACGGCTGAGGGCACAACAAGGTCTGGTATTTTGTTGCTCGCACAAGACAGCATTTGTTTTATAAACCCCACGCAGCTCAATGTAAACGATAATACTTTTCAAGTTTCTTCATGCTGTTTGGTCTAGAGTGCTGCCAGTTCTTTTCTTGTCTTTCCAAAGAAAACGAGTCAGTCTGGAACTGCTACTTAAAGGTATGACAACTTTTCACTGAAGTCAGGGCTAGCAGGCGAGATTTGCGTTATCAAATGCACTTGACTTGAATAAAGGGCCCTCTGAATTTACAAAATGAATTCGTCGACAACAATGTGAGAGCTCTAGAGGAAGTGCAAACATAACTCAGCACTAGCATTCGGAAACTAATTCAAGCCAAACGCTTTCCAAATGCTGTTTCCGTGCTCCATTGTTTTGCGAAACTCTACACTCAGAAAAATTGAATTAAAAGAGCATTTTGGGGCTTGTCTGTAGACCTGAACATTGAACGAGTACTTCCTGCCCCAAGCATTCGCCTGCAGGCTTCGCGCAGCCTATTAGCCCTCTCAGCAAGATCTCTTTGAAACATCTTTTGCTTCTTTGTTCCATTTCTCTGAATAGTTTGTTCCAAAGGGAAGAAGAAAGCCACTTTCGTCAGCCACAGTGCACAAGAGGGACTTGGGGTCTCAGGCGTGCCCCCGAATATTAACCCCGATTCGAAAGACTTTTCAGGATTTTAAATGCAAAAACTGAGTTGCATTACACTGTTAATGCAATGTTTTGGCTTTCTCAGAATTTTACTGCAATATTTGGGCTTTTAATTGCACTTTTACTGCAATATTCGAGCCTTATCGATGCTTAGATTACCAATCGGAACAGGCCTTGTGACCTCCACCAAAGGGAAACATTTCCAGCACTTCGCACCAAGTGCTTGGCTGAACTTAAGGGCAACTTAGAAGTAAATATTTACAGAACAATTCATGGCCATAATTGGCCTTCAAAGCAGATCTACTTTAAGTTCTTTTGAGAAACTTTAAAATGATGCGGGACCTCCGCAGCAGCTACTGCGTGCTTAGCGCCGCTGTGTTAGTTTTGGTGGCTAAGTTTACTGTCATTGTACAACAAAAAAGTATAAGAGGCCATGCTGGGGTCCAACAGGCTAAAAGTAAGTCTTCGGGATTTACCCCGCAGCTCAAAGCTGTAAAGTGCAGCACAACTTTCAAGTCCAGTTCACTTTGCTGCACAGCACGCAGTTTGTGCCTTTTGAAATCAACTTACTTGCTGATATCCTAAACCTTAAACTCTAAACCCTAAACCCTAAACCCTAAAACCCTAAACCGTAAACCCATGAATGAGCTGTTTGTCCGCAGCACTAACTTCCGCGCACAATCTGCGATAAATCCTGCTCCGCGTTTCTGTATCAGCTTTTTCTATAATCCAGCATTATAGTGTGCAGCTCTGCATGCACTTAGTGCTGCTTTTAAGCGGTGGTTTGGTGCAGTGCCCTTAAGACTCCAGGAGCGTTCGCCTGTGGGGCGGCGCGTGAGAAGGAAACTCCCGGCGCTCGCGATGCTGCTGAATGCAAACACAGTGGAAATGAGCTAAATTAAATGAATTGCAAAACAGAAAATGTGGGAGAGCAGCAGATAGTTTGAGTTCAAGCCGCAGCAAGTTCTGCATGCGCGTTTGCAAGGCAGCCAGCGGCGAAATCGAGAGCAGGCAGCCCGCGAGTTTCCGCGAGAAGCCCTTGCGGATAACCCCCCAGTGAAATATGTTTTAATTTGGGATTTTGAAATGAAAAGTTAATAAAAGCGTCGCGCCGAAGGGGAGTCCGCGCGACTGACACACAGCCGCAGCAGAATCTGAATCGACCGCCGCAGCCAACATGAACGGCAGACGGCGGCTGCGGCCCACCGGGCCCGACACCCGGCGATCTTCTCGCTTTTCGCAATCTTCATCTTCAGCTGCAGCAAAAAGGAGCCGCGGGGGCGCTGCTGGCGGCGGCGAAGGCCCCAGCGGCCCCCCCGCGGCCGCCCGCAAGCGCCCGCGATTCGAAGACGAAAATATTGAATCGGACTCTGCCTCTGGCGTGGAAAGCCCCCCTTCGACTGACAGCGAGTCTGAAGATGGTGAGAGCTGCAGATCCGCGGCAGCAACCGCGGCGGCCCAGTGGTCGCCGCTGCGGCCAAAAGCTGCATTCTGCGCTGCTGCAGCTGCAGCAGCAGCTGCAGCAGCAGCTGCAGCAGCAGCTGCAGCAGCAGCAGGTGCAGCAGCAGCAGCTGCGCGGAGGTGTTGCGCGAGTTTCTGTGCATTTCTTGAGTTGCTGCGTTCAACAGCGTGTCTTCTTCTTGGCGCTTTGTGCCAATTCTTCGTGTCATCCCCCGTGCGTGAAGCGGCATTTTCTCGAGTTTCCGCCTCGCACATTTCTGCTGCTGCTGCTGCTGCAGCAGCAGCAGCAGCAGCGCGTGGAGGCGCAGCAGAGGCGCGAATCCCGGGTCCTTCTGCTGCGTGCTGCGCATGCAGGTGCAGCAGCAGGGGAAACAGCGGACGAGGCGCGGCTGCGGGTGGCTCGGGCGTATCTGCGGGAGCTGTCTGCTGCTGCTGCTGGTGCTGGTGCTGCTGCTGCTGCTGCTGCTGGGCGGTCCCAGGGACTTGAAGCAGACCCGGCCTTCGGCTCTGGCAGCAGCAGCAGCAGCAGCAGCAGCGAGAGCGAGGGGCCCCGGGGGCCCCCCGAGGACTCCGAAGAAGAAGACCCTTTTGAATCGGAGACAGAAAAGGAGAAGTTGGTGGAGACCCTCAAGAGCCGCAAGCAGCAGCAAAAGGTCCGAGCTGCTGCTGCTGGCTGCAGAGTCTTGCTGCTGTTCTTTTGCTGCTTCTTTGGCCTTTTTGTCTTTTATTTTGCCTCTTTTCAAGTCTTTTTGTCTTTTATTTTGCGTGCAAATGTTATTTTAGATTCTTTTTATTCTTTTTCTTTTTCCATTCTGGTCTTCTTTTGCCCCACTTGATTTTGTTTTCTGCACTTAATTCTTCTTTTTGCAATTCCGTTTTCTTTCCCTCCTTCCATCTCCTTCCCATTTGCTCCACCCTTCTCCTGATCACCCTCTAACCGCCAGGGTTTAGGGTTTAGGGTTCAGCGTTTAGGGCCTAGGGTTTAGGGTTTAGGGTTTAGGGTTTAGGGTTTAGGGTTTAGGGTTTAGGGTTTAGGGTTTAGTGGGGGTTTAGGGTTTAGGGTTTAGGGTTTAGGGTTTAGGGTTTAGGGTTTAGGGTTTAGGGTTTAGGGTTTATGCAGGGCGCGGGAAACACCCCCGCGTTGGTGAACAGTTTGTTGACTTCGCTGTGCAACATTTCGCCCTTCTTTAGGGTTTAGGGTTTAGGGTTTAGGGTTTTAGGGTTTAGGGTTTAGGGTTTAGGGTTTAGGGTTTAGCTTGCGCAGGCCTTAGCTGGCTCCCAAGTTCGCCGCGTGGCCCAGACGCTGCGGCTGCGGGACTTGGGATTTTTCAAAGGTCATAAACTGCCAGTGACTTCAGTGGCTTTGCCTGGGGAGGGGCCCCCCAGGTGTGCATACACCGGAGGCAAGGACTGCTGCGTCCTCCGTTGGGACCTCCAGACGGGTCAGAAGTTCATTTTTAAGGGTCGCCGCAACTCTTTTGCGGCTTCCTGGCCTTCGGGGGGCCCCCGGGGGCCCCCCAGGGGCACTTCCGCGCGGTCTTGAGCGTTTGCGCCACAGAAGATGACCGGCTCTTCTTTTCCGGAGGCGCCGACCATGTGGTCAAGGCCTGGGACCCGCGGGCCTCCAACTGCAGGTGCATGCGCTTTGCATGCGCTTTGCATGCGTTTTGCATGCGTTTTGCATGCGCTTTGCATGCGTTTTGCATGCGTTTTGCATGCATGCGTTTTGGGGCTTTTTGCAAGAGTTCTTTGAATGAGCTTCGGGCTTTTCTCTGGCTGGCGTTGCATTGGCTGTTCTTTTGTGGCCTCATATATATAATATATATATATATAATATATATATATATATATTATATATTATATATATATCTGTATATTATTAATGTTGTGTGCATACGTACATGAATGTATACTAATGTACTTACGTATTTGCATGCATGTATACACACACATATATATAATAATACATGAATTAATATATATATATAGTAATATATATATATATATAGTAATTATATATATATATATATAGTAATATATGTGCAGTACTTACATGGTAGTATCTGTATAATGCAGTGTACGTACAGTATATATTATATAAATGCATATAGTGTACATACACACAAACACATGGGAGCAGCTTGCTGGCCTAAATGGACCTTTAGGTGCCGTCTAAAGTTGATAATTAAAACTGCAAGCATTCAAAAAGATATAAATGAGTCAATCTGCTGCTGCTGCTGCTGCTGCTGCTGCTGCTGCTGCTGCTGCTGCTGCAGGTGCGCGTTTGAGCTGCGGGGCCACCGGGGCCCTGTGAACGGGCTGAGCCTGAACGGGGGCCCCCTGGGGGCCCCCGACGAAGACAGTCCTTTGCTGAGTTGCAGCGAAGACAAAAGCATCAAAAGTTGGAATCTGATTTCCCGATTGGCTTCCAACCACTTTTATGGCCACACTGCAGCAGTCAACTGTATAGACACCCTGCAGCCCAACAAGCCCCTCACTGGCGGCAGCGACGGCACTCTCAGGGCCTGGAAGGTACGCCGAGCCAAACCACCAGCAGCAGCAGCAGCAGCAGCAGCAGCAGCAGCAGCAACGTGCAGCAGCAGCAGCAGCAGCGCGGCCAGCCTGTGCGGCTTGCTTCCTGTTTGTGTGTCTTGCTGCTGTGTTCGCTTTGAGTCTAAATAGCTGGCATGAAGTCATATGCCCCTCCTTTCGAACGGTCTAGGGGTGCTGAACCGCCAAGCCCTGCTGCTGCTGCTGCTGCTGCTGCTGCTGCTGCTGCTGCTGCTGCTGTGCGCAGCTGGTGCAGGACACGCACCGGGCGTTTCCGTCTCTGGGGTCCTGCGTGGACTCCGTGGCTTGTTTGTCTCCTTCTTTGTTTGCCTGTGGGGCCCAGGGGGGCCTTTTGGCTCTCTTCAGCAGCAGCAGCAGAAGGCCGCTGGCCTGCGTGCGCGCGGGCCGCCCGGGTGTCTGTACACCGCAGCAGCAGCAGCAGGCCGCGGCCACACCGCAGCAGCAGCAGCAGCAGCAGCAGCAGCCGGGCGCCGCCAAGCCCCAGCAGCAACCGGGACTCCGCACGCCGCAGCAGCAGCCGGCTGTCCGAACACCGCAGCAGCAGCCAGGTGTCCGTACACCGCAGCAGCAGCCAGGTGTCTGTACACCGCAGCAGCAGCCAGGTGTCTGTACACCCCAGCGGCCACTCAGAGCCGCGGGAAACCCCACAGGCGTTTCCGCCCTCTGCGCTCTGCCGGGCACTGACGGCCTTTTGGTGGGCACTGAGGCCGGCACTTTGCAGCTCTGGGAGGCTGCGCAGCGAGACAGTACGCGCTGCTGCTGCTGCTGCTGCTGCTGCTGCTGCTGCTGCTGCTGCTGCTGCTGCTGCAATGCTGCTGCTGCTGCTGCTGCTGCTGTTGTTGTTTGGGGGTTGGGGAGTTGCCGCAGCCGGCGGCGCTGGGCTGGGTGGGGGCTGCCGAGTCTTTTTATTGAAATGGTTTTATTTATTGTCTCAGTGAGCTGCAGCTTTGATGCTTTATTTATAAATTTAAGGTTGTGTGTTTTGATTTCTTTTTAAATTTATTTTATCTATTTAAGGAGTCAATGATTGTACGATTTGGGCCTCCCTCCGGCGCCCCACTGACCGCTTTTGCTGCTGCTGCTGCTGCTGCTGCTGCTGCTGCTGCTGCTGCTGCTGGGTGTGTGCAGAGGGCGGCGTGCTGCGGGCTGTGGAGGCAGCAGGCGTGGCTGTGGGGGGCTCCGTGGCAGCAGTGGCACTTTCTGCTGCTGGAGATTTCGCAGTTGCTGCTGTCAGCAGCGAAAGCCGACTCGGCCGCTTTTTCAAAAGTGATGGCGCAAAAAACGGAATTCGGCTGCTGCGTCTGGAGGCCGCCTGAGGTGTACAGACACCCGGTGTACAGACACCCGGTGTACAGACACCCGGTGCACAGACACCAGCTGTAGTGACACTTCAATTTCCAATTTGGCGGACATTCTCTGCAAAACAACTACCTCTGTACACTGCAACAATTCAGGTGTACGTACACTGCAGATCTCCAGGTGTACGTACACTGCAGCTCTTGAGGTGTACGTGTACTATTTGATGTGTACGTACACTGCGCTTCTCGAGGTGTTTATGTGCACTGGAGTTGCTGAGGTGTACGTACACTGCAGCTCTTGAGGTGTACGTACACTGCAGCTCTTGAGGTGTACGTACACTGCAGCTCTTGGGGTGTACGTACACTGCAGCTCTTGGGGTGTACGTACACTGCAGCTCTTGGGGTGTACGTACACTGCAGCTCTTGGGGTGTACGTACACTGCAGTTTTTGAGGCGTGCATGCACACCAAGTTGCTGAGGTGTACGTACACTGCAGTTGCTGCGGTGTACATACACTGCAGCTGCTGAGGTGTACGTACACTGCAGCTTTATCACGTCTGTTTGCTGCCTAACTCTTCGGCATTTTTGTCAGCTGCGGAAGACAAAAGACAAAAACAAGTCCTAATTGCTGCTGCAGCGGGTCCAAAGCAACAGACGCGGTTGCCACCCATTCCACAGCTCTTTTGTTGTTGTTGCTGCTGCTGCTGCTGCTGCTGCTGCTGCCGTTGCTGCTACTGCCGTTGCTGCTGCTGCCGTTGCTGCTGCTGCAGTGGCAGCGCAGAGGGGGTCCTGGGAGCAAAAGAGCTGTGCGTATAGAGAAGCAGCGGCCCGAGAACCTAAAGCACAGGGCTTAAAGTTTAGGGTTTAGGGTTTAGGGTTTAGGGTTTAGGGTTTAGGGGAAGCTGCCTATAGAGGGTTGAGGGTTTTTCCCCTTTGGCGGCGAACTCTTGTGCTCAGTTGGCACAGAAGAATCGGATTTCTCGGAATTGAATTTGTTCGAGGGTTTAGGGTTTAGGGTTTCGGTCGCAGAGCTGGAGAGTACCCAGCAGCAGCACCAGCAGCAGCAGCAGCAGCAGCAGCAGCAGCAGCAGCAGCAGCAGCAGCGGCAGCAGCTTCAGATCCAGAAGTAGCGGTACTGCTGCCGCGCCTTTCTGCGCAGCTCTGCGCTGCACCAAAGACACTCGAGGGCCCTCGGGGGCAGCAAATGGAGCAGCTCGGTGAAGCTGAGGGCCTCTGGGGCCCCACAGCGGTGTCTGCTGCAGCTGCTGCTGCTGCTGCTGCTGCTGCTGCTGCTGCTGCTGCTGGGGCTGCGCCTGCGGGCGCTGCTGCAGCAGAGCCCGAAGAGCGCGTCTGCGAGGGCGCCCTGCGCTGCGTCTGCGGTGTCTGTACACCAGAGCTGCCGAAATGCTGCTTTGTCAATCTTTTCACTTTTCGGAATTTTTTCTTTTTCAAAAATTTGCTGCAGCAGCGCCTTCAGCTCCCCACAGGCTCTCTTCAGAGTCGCTATGTCTTCCTCCAGCTCCAGGCAAACGCACTGCAGCTGCAGCGCCTCCTGCGCCCCCAAACCCTGCTGCTGCTGCTGCTGCTGCTGCTGCAGCTGCTGCTGCTGCTGCTGCTGCGGCTGGGGGTGCTGTTCTGGCTGCGGCGGAGGGACTCGCTGCTGCGCTGCTGCTTCGGCTCCCGTGGGCAGCCCGCGGGAGCGAGGCCTCTGCAGCAGCAGCTGCTGCTGTTGCTGCTGCTGCTGCTGTTGCTGCTGCTGCTGCTGTTGCTGCTGCTCTGAGGTAGAAGTGAGGGGATCGCCCAACGGGGAGACGCCGCTGCTGCTCTTCTCCTGCGATTCCGCTTCCGCGTCGCTTTGGCTGTCGCTGCTGCTGCTGCTGCTGCGGCTGCGGCTGCTGCTGCAGCTGGCGCAGTTTGCTGCTGCATGCGCGTGCTTGCTGCTGCTGCAGCTGGCGCAGTTTGCTGCTGCATGCGCCTGCTTGCTGCTGCTGCAGCTTCTCCCGCTTCTTGTGTCTGTGAGCGCCTGCGGCCTCGCCGCCGCCCGCGCTGCCGCTGCTGCTGCTGCTG